AGGTTGCAGTTAGCTGCTCTAGAAACAGCATGTCAAGAATCAAACAGGTCAAAAGATCCTAAAATATCCTTTTAATTACATACAGTGATGCATCTATAATATGACAAGATGACTCTATAAGTGATGATTGATTCTGAGCTTTCAAACAATCTAAACATACATGAGATGATGTTATTAAAAGGAAATCAAGGTCTAAAAATTCTACATACGAGTAAGTCCAAACATTGTTTTTGTTTTACGGTAAAAGATAGAATGTGGTTACACGAACCAAGCTCGACAGGACCTCAACAGAGAGAAATTTAGAAATTATATTCAGGTCCAGGTCAGGCCTGTACACATAGGTTAGGTTAGACAACTGGAGCACTAATATGTCTGCTTCATTTAATGATAAGGGGAAAAACACCGTACAAACTCAACTGCGTTAGGCTCAGGTCATGTTTGGACATTAGATATAAGCTTGTCGTGACTAGACGCCACATTCTTTGGCATGGGCCAGGTTCAGACAGAAACATTTGGCCCAATTCATGCTCATGGTTGTTTATTGACAGTTGTTTATTTATATATACACATTACTTTGAAAGGTGCATGCGTACTGTATGTACTACACAGTAGTTGGTACTACCCATCTTAGTGCTTTTGTTCAAAGGTCTTGCATGTTGCCCTTGATAGTTTTAATGTGGGTCAGGGTTATTAGTCTTAATCAAAACAAAAATATATAGACAACTGCCACAATAATGAAATACGCTGAGATTATGAGATGCTCATCAAAGTGGCTGTGATCAGCTGAGTTCCAAATTTCAATGCCAGATCACGACCAAAATGAATCTGATGTCATTCTAGGTAATCATGCAGCACTGACACGTGACAATTAAACTGCAGAGTGTACAAGATATTTTATGGACACGAAGAAGAAGCAGCTACTGAGTCTAAAGTGCAGTATTACTGGAAAGTGGCTTGTGAGAGATTTCAGTATAAAGTCACTCTCATTACAATCTCAGTTAGTACGTTTCCAATTAATGTACCATGGGCATGCTGACATTTCAATCCTTCAGCTGCTGCAGCATCATTATCATTCTATCCAAACTCAAGTGAGCAATGCTTGTACATAAAAACCAGATCTGTTGTTTATTATTCTGCCACACTAATTGGAATTACAGAAAGCAAAGATTTGGAACAAACTCAAGCAAACCAATATTCCCAAGTTCCAGGTCTGGAAACTGAGTGTATTACTCATATTTCACATTGAATCCAAATGTTAACCAGCTAGAAGATAACAAGCAGGCAGTGAGAGAGCCTGTAGTGTCTGCTGTGTCTCAGTGATGAGGATGGGAAACTGAAAATGAAACTGCTGGACATACAATGAGTCCCACAAGTAGTACACGTTGTCAGTGTAAGTGTATGCTTTCATACAGTATATCAGTGTGTGATTCTTTGGGAAAGTATGAGAATGACCACTGGACCTGAGGATGCCACTCCTTCCACAGACATTTTGTTCTCTGTTTCCAGGGTTGATTTGTTGCAGGATGAATCCAGTGTCCTCTCCTCTCCTTCTCCTTTCTGTCTTTTACTGCTTTTTCAGTCTTTTGCTCACATTTTCTCTCCTCCTGTTAATTGATTCTCTGTTTGTTTTCCCTTCCAAAACTCTAAGACGTTTTCAGAGTACCATCAAACTTCACAATGCTTGCTTAGAGTCATGTTTCACTTTTTAATGTACACAAGAAAAAGCTTTTGAGATGAGGACAAAACAATTATCCAGGACCTGGCTACTGCATGGATGAGCTATCTCAAATGTAACGTAACAAAAAAATGCCTGGCTTTGGAAAAAGGCCAAAGAGAATTTGGTTATTACTGTAGGTAGTAAGCTATTTATCCATATGCAGCTTATGACAAAGTTGAACACAGTCAAGTTGTTCACTTTATTTCCAGCTCTTGCGTTTTTCGTTTTGGAACATTACTCTCCAAATGTTTCCTACTATGTGTGCTGTTTCTTTAGATTTTGTTTTTCCTGCCTTCTCATCTTTTACATGTTGTTTCCTATTTGTATTTATATGGTTAATATCATTTGGCCAAGTGATAATAATTGAAAACTCATCGCCACATTTACAGTAATGCTCATCAGTGTGCATTGTCCCTATAAACAAATAAATGGACTTGTACAGTGCTCTTCTGTGCAGTGAAGTGCACTCAAAGTGCTTTAAACTATTTGTCTATTCACCCATTTGCGTACACAAGCATTCACAAACTGATGCAAAGGACTGGAGAAGCCGGGATCAAACCGCCAATGACCCACTCTACCTCCTGGGCAAAAAAAATGAATAGGATTCTGAAAGAAGAGTTCCAGAAAAAGCAATGAGGTTGCAAAAAGTGAAAGTAACATAAAGGCAGTTTTATGAATTGGATTTAAGTTCACATCACATCAATGCAGCAATCATGGCACCATATGCTCTCTCTGTGTGTTTGTGAAGGTGCATAATATCTCTTTTGTGGGTTTAAGTGTAAAAACATGCATTCTTGCATATTCACAATATCATGACATATGTATCTTTATATTAATCATGAAGACATTATGGTTTGAGGAGTATTCTGCAGTGGAAATTGTATCTATATGACAGTTAATTCCTGAGTTGGAGATTGTATGTCTTTAAGAAGCAGGTGGCTTCTTTCTTGGCAAGTGAGTAATATGCTGGATGGAAGGAGGAGAGAGTGGTTAACACATCTATAGCAATAGAGGTTTGGTTTTACACATACATATCTATATACAACAGTTAACATTTATGCTGATTATAAAGAAAATATGTAGTATACATATAGACATTGTGCTATATCATATGTTGTTGTATATTCTACCTAATATTGTGTGTCTATTCACTATTTGAGAAGGGAAGTACAGTATATGCCTAATGAATTTCATTTAACAGCGAAGCGAGTACCATCCAGGAACAGGATATTGCAGGTCATCATGACTTTTGGGGGATCTGTCCAGAGTCTAAGAACATCTAGTTACAAAAACATGTTTGATTAGAAAGTTGAGACACACATCTTTGATCGCACATGATACTTTGAAACACACACACATTACAATTGGGTAAAGATGAATGGAAACCAGACACACATGTCAGATTGCTTCCTGGTTTCTATCTCTCTATTCCTTCTGGGTGATCTGGGTCGAGCTGCCTAGGAGTGGTGGAGTAGGATTGGCGCAGCTGTTGCCAATTTCCACCAGGACTCAGAGTATTTAAATGGAGCCTGGTGTTCTACCTTCTGCCAGTCTGTTCTGCAACTTTGCCGCACTTGCATCGGCCGACCTTGGCTCACCTCATAGAGTAAGCTCTGTCAGGTTTCCCTGTTCTTCACCTGTGTTCCAGGTTTGTTCCTTTCTGTTTTCTCCTGCTTGACACATCTTTACCAGCTACGCTACTCCAGCTCAGCTCATCCTGCTCAACACCATCTCTGCCAGCTCATTTCCTACTCTGCCCATACAACCCTACATCTGCCCTGCTTAACTCCTGCCTAGTAAGCCAGACTCATTTCCTGCTCAGCCAGACCAGCCCAACTCCATCTCTGCCCCTGTCTTCATCAACTCCAGATCACCAGTCACCTGTGTATCTATCCTGTATTGCTTCCTTTGTTACTATTAAACACCTTTAAACAGTCTCTGGAGTCTGAGTCCTGCCTTTGAGTCCAAAGAGTTTCTGACATTGACCCATTGGTCTTGACAACACACAACACTTCTTTTGCAACACATACACACACAGGGGTAGAAAAAAGTAGATAGGGTTGTTAACAGAATCATAAAGACAGAAAAAGGTCCATGTATGGTAATGAGTGGACAATCACTGTCAACAGGGTGTGGTCATTACTGTAATTGCGCAATTTTCTTCAGTTTTGTTGATGAACCAACTCTGGATCTTTTGCTTTTAATAAAAGGATCTCAAATCTTAACCCTTCTCTCTGAGCAAAGTTTTTTCCACAACACTATTTTGCACAAACATGAGCATAAACAGATGGCAGAGTACCATAAAGTGTAAGCAAATACTATATGTGATCACTTGTGTCTGCATGCGCTTGTCTTTTAGAGTGTGCTTTTTTAGACCATTTGAACAACAACCAAAAACAGATTAGAGGTAGGTCAAAGATTTTCAGATTCAGAGAAGAATGTACAACACATAGCTGGAGAAATGGGAAACTTTCATGATTGCCATGACTGGTGGTAAAGAAGCAGCAATGTTAGCTAATTACCTCAATCGGCTGTCATTCTGACAACCTCATTCAATACTGTCTGCCCACACTGGCAGCTTCCTATCACACAGCAGCAACTCACATTAATATTCACCATAAAGAAGAAAGTAATTTCTTTCTGCTCCCTCACATTAATTTCCTTTGCTGTCTGTTTGGCTACTTTTCTACCTGAGATATCTACAGTGCTGAATGACAGCTGAAATGGTGTAATATTGATCACAGCAACTTCAGTGTACAAAGTACTGGGTCTCTAAACTCGATAAAAAGCTGCACACCTCCAACCTCTCAGCAAGGTAACCAACTTTACTATGCCCTGCTATTGTGTTACTTGTATCATATGCAGCATGAAATCAGATTACAGCTGTGATTATTATTGACTAACATCTCTGTTAAAACAACACAAAGATGCTGAGCTGCACTGTAAACAAATGCACAACTTGCTCTTCTACAGTGACTGTAAGAAAGCAGCATTCTCTGTTACCACCAATGACTAGAGACATCAGCAAAGACTGAAAACTTGATGAATCTTACTTTAGTGCTTGTAGTTTTCTAACACACTATGTGTCTTGCCTGCATGCTAAACTGATATCCAATTGAAACAAACAATAGATGACAACAGCCAACAACCAGCTGTGTAGACAGTGTTCTAATCAAGATATTACAATTTTTTTTTAATGTTAAGATTAATACAAGAAGCTTTTTGCCTCTCTTGCCTTCCTGCCAACCCCCCTGAACCCTTCCTTCCCTTCCCACCCTCTCACCTCCTCCACTGTCCTTCTCCTCCTCCTCAATGCTGTTCTTGATGCCGTCATACTCGTCGTCGATATTCTGGTTGCCACGGATCTGACTGAGCACGCGGCGGGCCTTCTGAGTCAACCCGCATTGGATTAACCAGCGAGGGCTCTCTGGCAGGAACAGGAATCCAATGAACTGGAGCAATGCAGGAAACACTGACAGACCCAACATATACCTGGAGACAAAGGGAGGGGATACATGGTGTGAGGGTTATACAATCACAGAAACTACATAATCAGGTCCTCAGAAGTTTTGTTTTCTGACTAATTACAATTTCAACAAAATGGGGCATGTCGTGCAAATCTATATTTGTTAAAAAAATATGATATGCATAAGTTGGCGCTGCATTCAGTTTATGTACAGGTGGCAGCAAGCATCAGGTGGTTTCTGCTTCACATAATCTTAGTCTTTACTGTTAGTTAGAGAGAACCCGGGCAAGCATGGGGAGAACATGCAAACTCCACACAGAAAGGGTCCCAGATGGGGCCCGAACCCGGGACCTTTTCGCTGTGAGGCAACAGCGCTAACCACTGCGCTACCGTGCTGCCTAGTAGGTAACATAAGTGTCAATTTCTAAAATGAGAGAATAACTTCACCTAAACAACACTACTGATTTATTGGTCTGTTATGTTGAGAGGAAAATTGCCTCTCTGTATCCACTCATGAACATAATCAGGGATCAGTTTATTCTGTAAAAGGGTCACGGTGAAACCCAAAGAATTATGAGTTAGGAAAGTAAAGAATAAGAGAATAAAAGAGGCAAATTAAAGAGAATACTGTAATAATAATAAAATGAGCTTTATCTCTAGATGTAGTAGAAGAAGAGAAGCAGCAACACCAAAGAGTGGGGAAAAGACCAACTTCTTTTTACTGAAATGAACGTCCCTCTCTACTGCTGTGCAGGCAAAGACATCACTCCCCTGACATTCATTCTCTAAACTCAATAAGGATCTCAGAAAAACCAATATCATGTATGAATCACACCAGTCTTCTAAATGATCTCCGCCAACTCCATCAGAACTGCTGTTGAAGCAAATCCTTGCAAAAAGGACTTTTCTTATCTCTAGACTCTCACAGTTCAACACCCTGTAGACTGTAAACCTGTATTCAGTGTGACAGAAGCATATAAGAGCAGAAAAGATAACAGATAAAAGAGAACAGAGAAAGAATACAGTATTTTTCACACATACAGTACAACTGCTTTCAGCAAATGTTAGGGTCTGACACAAGCATGCCCTGACATTTGAAATGAATGAGTCAGAATGACTTTTTCTTGCATTTCAGAATCAGAAGAATCAGAATCAGAATCTGCTTTATTGGCCAGGTGTGTCGGACACACGAGGAATTTGACTCTGGTACATCAGCTCTCAATGTGTATGTACATATCCCGAAGGAGCAGGTAAACAGTAAACCAGCTTAAGGCTGTGTAAGATAAAAATAATTAGCAGCAACAACCAGAGCAAACGATACAAAATAAGCAGTATAGACAGGCAGTAAACAATGCAGACAAACAAAGGAATGCTCACGGAAGATAAATAAAAATAAAAACAGAGTACCTAAAACTAGAAACCTGTACAAATCTGTATAATCTGTATGAGGTATATTTACAGGTATTGCACTGTTAGATATTAGTAATTGTTAGACCTTAATGTGTTAGTAATGCAATTTAGTAAGATTCAAAGTCTGCTCTAGTCTGTTTTGTTTCAAGGTTATCAGACAGAATGTTGATTCTGAAAAGTGAACCATGACACCAATTGTTTTCTTGTATTAAATCTTGTGTTAGAATATTATATCTGAATAAATAAATGAAAGCCTTAACTACACACCAAGTGACAACATACACACACATTGAGATTCTTCATTTTGTTATGACTAGATAGAAATGCAGCTGCAGTACTAGATAAGAGATGTAGTCTGCAGACTGACTTCATCTGGGTAAGGGGTTAGCCCAAAACTTATAAATGTATTAGGCTTTGTGTGGCCAGGGACTCCTTTTTCCAGCAGCAGTGTGTGTGTTTCTGGAGGAGGGAGCAACCCAGTTCGTGTTTGTAATTGTGTGGAGCATCCACACTATGCTTTTCTGTTATTTATTGTTATTTTCTGTATTGTTGTTTTCTGTTTTGTTATTTTCTGTTATTTATTGTGTGGATGCTGTAACATCCACACTATGTTTTCCTCTTATTGTGTGGATGCTGTATTTATACTTTTTAAACTAATTAGTGTCTTTCAGCAATATTTTGCTGATTTAAATAAAATAGGAAAATTCTACTTCAGCATACTTTCAGCTATCAAAATGTTTAGCTATTCAAGGACACTCATGCTTTTATTCAGAAATTTTAAAAACTTCATACGTTTAAAATATTTAGCTTTATTCTGAAAATCTTGCTCCATTCAAATGAATGGGAAAATTTTACTTGAGCATACTTTTAGCTATTTCAGGTATCAAAATGTTCAGCTCCTCTTGCACATTCATTCTTCCATTCAGAATCTTTCTAAACTTAATACTTTTGAAATATTTAGCTTTATTTTGAAAATCTTTCCACATTCAAATGAATGGGAAAATTCTTCTTCAGCACACTTTCAGCTGTTTCAGCTATCAAAATGTTCAGCTCTTCAAGGACATTCATGCTTCTATTCAAAACTTTTCTAAACTTCATACTTTGAAAATATTTAGCTTTATTTTGAAAATCTTGCCCCAATTGAAATGAATGGGAAAATTCTACTTGAGCATACTTTCAGCTATCACAATGTTCAGCTCTTCGAGGACATTCATGCTTCTATTCATAAGTTTTGTAAACTTAATACTTTTGAAATATTTATCTTTATTTTGAAAATCTTGCCCCATTTAAATGAATGGGGAAAATTTTACTGCTGCATACTTTCAGCTATTTCCGCTATTAAAATGTTCAGCCCTTCAAGGACATTCATGCTTATGTTACACCTTTTGTAAACTTCATACTTTTAAAATATTTAGCTTTATTTTGAAAATCTTGCCCCATTGAAATGAAAGGGAAAATTCTACTTCAGATTGTGTCCTGGGTGTGAGGGGTCTACAGAAATCTTCTCCACCCTCCTCCTGACCTGTGAGGTATACAGGTCCTCCATAGAGGACAGGCTTGCACCAATGACCTTTTCTGCACTCCTGCCTGTCCGCTGAAGTCTGTACTTGTCCTGTTTGGTTGCTGAGCCAAACCAGACAGTGATGGAGGTGCAGAGACAAGCATTTGACAAGAGCCCAAACAAAAGATGCTAATGTCAAATCTGACTACAGCACAAGACCACTTTAACAGAAGATGGAAATCTGCTACTGTCTTTACATTGTTAGGTATTTTTAGTCAGATATATATTGGTTAGGTACTTGTTGTATTAGAAATGTTTTTAGTGTAAACAGGATGTCTAGCTCAGGCTGTTAAATGCTTACTCATTTTCATGAGTTACTCCAGGTTGTTTATGGTCAAGGATAACTAGATAGAGAGTTGATTACTGTATGATATGTTTAGTCGTAATCTTAATCATAATATCTTCCTAGGCTTAATGTCCGGACATGTCCCTGAATGTCCTGTATGTTCTTAGATACACACCACTTAATCAACACTCACACACATTGATTTTCTCCATGTTTTGACTAGTGCTACTGTTAGCTGTAAAGCAGGCATATCAGGTGACGCCACGGTTTGACGTGCCTGTGTAGAATGGGGTTAGCCCAAACCAGATATAACGTACAGGCCTGTTGGGTTTGGGGTCTTTTCATCTTTCATCTGCCTGCATGCAGTTTGGAGGTGCAAGATGCCTGAGCGTGTAATGTTAATTTTTACCTGTGTTCATGGAATAAATCAGCACTGTTTTGTAGTTACTTGGACTGCCTCGTCTCTCAGAGTCCGTATGGTAAAAAAGTACCGGGTACAACAACATGTGCTCACATATGTACCTGACTATATAAAATGCTACACTGAAGGTATGTTGTCAGTGTAATGTGTGTTGGTGTGATATTTGTCTGACCTCCATCCATCGTGCTGCAGATAGCTAAAGGCACCATCGATGAGGCTTGCAGTGAACTGCCCTCCAGTGATGAAGAGGGTGTTAACGGTCACCAGCTGACCCCTGAGGTGGGGAGGAGAGGCCTCTGCGATGTATACGGGTACTGTCATAGAAGCAATACCTGCACAGCAGGGGAGAGGGAGAAACAATGGTTAATGCAATTAGTGGGAGATACTATCAAACGCAGTGTTTCTAAATATACTCATGACTGACACTCATAAGATGTGCCTTGTACAGTAGCTAGGGTGGCTCACTGTCAATTAAAAATCCACTTACCTTATACTGTATCTGTTATAATCCGTGTTTTTATACTGTATATGAAACAGGTCTCTTGTAGTGACAAACTCAAAAGAATTTCATGTGGCAGTTACAACTTTGTCCAAGTGGCAAAAATATATATATATAATATTTCTGCTTTAACTCTAAATAAATAAAATATAATTATTAAAATGACTCATTAATGAAAAAACTAGCCAACACTATTACCATTTTTAGGATATGTATCTATATGCATCTATTTATCTACATAAAAAAATGTGATTTTACCATCATATTTCTGTTAGCTGTTATTACTGTGGTCAGTTATATTGTGCTGACAGAAAATTAATTAATCAATAAATTTTTTATGTGAACATATGTGAGCAATTTACAAACCAAGTAACTTTTATATAATTGTTACTAATTACAATAATTTTATTAACCTGTACTCTTTAGTAAATGATGATTTTTAAGAGTTTTTGACCTCAACCTCAACAACAGCAACAATGACATCATGTGGATGTAACGTAAACCCAGGTGACACAAACAAATACTACAGTTCATCTCAGTAATGGGTTGAGTGCTGCTCTGACCACACAATCATATACACACACACCCACAGTGTATTGTCGAAAACATACACACACACAGCCACATGCACACTCCTGTACACACGTACACACAGAAAAATAACATGTTTTCCCAGGATGTATCTGACAAGGTGCCATGAGACCACAGCTTCCTGCAGCTGGTTCCTGATAAGCTCTATTAATAGTCTGCCATGGCCCCTACACCCCCAGCCCCCAACCCCAATCTCTGTCTCCTACACATCCCTACTGCCAACACCCTGCCATCTACAGAGACCATGACTACATGGCTACCTGTTGCTATAGAAACCACTTGCTGGGAAACCAACCATGCTGTCTCTGAGCGGGCGCCGCATTGTGGCAGCTCTGGAAAGATGAATTGATAACCAAGGAGGGGGAGGATTTCTTTCTTTTTATTTTGGCTTTTTCACGAGTAAACTGTGTGAGAGCAGGGAAATCACTATCGTCACATTTCTAAGCTCGGTTATGTTTCTTAACATCAAAACACTAATTAAAAAAACACTGTACTATGGGAAAAGTTATGGTTCAAGTCGCTGCCTAGTCTGGTGTTGAATGATCAGAACAAAAGCACTCATCTGGTTCCATGTTCCAAACAGCTCTCCAACAGTGTCATTCTTATGTTTTTATTCAAATTGATTTAATGACAGTGCAAACACACTGAACGGATTTAGAGTCAAGTCTTTATCTTAGTTATGGCTAAAAAAGGATTACCATCTGACGGCGGAAATCTGAGATGCAAAACACTGCCGAGATCTAATTAACTGCTCGTTGGCATTATGCCTGTCTTCTCAAGCCAATTTGATGGAAATCCATTCATATGCTTTTGAGAGACACTACTGGAAAGCAGATATGAGAAAACCATAACCTCTATGGCAAGGGTTACAGTAGAGCTAGGACTTGGAAAGAGTAAACACAGTGTACTGTTTAGTCATATATCCAGCACAGTAGCCTCATGATACAGTATGTAGCATCTGTGACACCACCCATATGAAGTACATTCTGACTTTTTTGGAAGTAACATAATGTGCCATGTGTAGAAGAACAGTATCTTAAGATGTTTCTTTATTAGTTTTAACAAAGCAGTGCCTCACTGTAATTCTAATGTAATCAATGCAAGAGGCTTTAGCATTCAGTTGTGGTGACCACAGCCTGATCTATACTGAAACATTATCAGCACACTCTGCCGCTGCTTAGCAAAGGCCTCCATCTTTACACTTTTTTTTCACCCTGCAGCTGCACCGTCATAAATGTCTATAAATACCTGTCATGGTGACTGACTTTTATGACCTCTGTTATTTTAAAAGGTAGAAGGCATTACATACATTCAGGTTTTGATTGAATATATGTAATTGCCTGGAAAAATATGGAACATAGTAAATCTGCATTTCCAAAACATTGCCATGGCAACAAAATGGCTTTTGTCAATTATTTCTTTAAAGTGCCCATGGCATGCTTTCCCTTGTTTTCTGGCTTATCAGCAATGTTACAGCAGTGAATTATCATCTTAAATGTGACCTAGAGCTAAAAAAATTAGGTGTACGTATGTTCTAGTATTTGTATGCAGAAGCAACTCGGGTTATACAAGTCTCACAAACTCTCGCTCATGAGACTTATTTTCCAACAATGTAAAGTCTTATGTGATAGTTCACAGATTTCCTTCAATGGTCATAATCTCCAGGCAGTTGCATGTTCATGATCAGCCCACCAATGCTGGGTTCCCCTGAAGCACAGTACCTGTGTGTTTTGACTGCTTGAAGGCAGCGTGTATGCTGCATGTGATGTGTTGCAGGTTGGCGAGACAATTCTAACAATCCATGATACTATTGTCAGTGCAACACTACTCGTTGGAATTAATTTCACTACTTTGAGATATGTGGTCACCTGTAATGCGAGGTATTTGTCGGGGAAGACACAGCAATCAGTGCTTGGATTTACCCACCGCTGGATCTACTTGAGAGGGAGTGATGTTTCTACTACTCCGTGGGACATTAACGGTAAGTTTAAAAAAAACAACAAAAAAAAACACACACTCTGTAGAGATAATTGTTTGCAGAAGTTACTATGTATGCATTACGCCAGTTAATTACCCGTGTTGTTTAGAGTGTTACAAATAACTTTTCGGTACATATACCATTGTTTACCTATATCCATCCATTATCTATGGATTATTCTTATTCCTGAATAGAGTTGTGGGGGGCTGGAGCCTATCCCAGCTGACAGTGGGCAAGAGGCAGGTACACCCTGGACAGGTTACCAGTCTATCACAGAGCTGACATGTAGACAGACAACCACACACACCCACACTATGGGCAATTTAGAGTCACCAGTCAACATAAGCTGCATATCTTTGGACTGTGGGAGGAAGCCAGAGTACCCGGAGAGAACCCACGCAAGCACAGGGAGAACATGCAAACTACAGCCAGAACCTTCTTGCTGTGAGATGACAGCGCTAACCACTGTGCTGCCCTCTTTACATATGGGTGGAGGAGAAATTCAAAATGAATTAATGCTGTTGCAGTTCGTCATGCTGTCCACTTTCATATTCTGGCTCAAACATGTCAGGTAGGATTTGAGGTATTGTCACTGCCAAAAACATAGCTTATTTGTCTGTTTTTTTGTTTATGTGTTGTCCTGGCTTCCTGACTGGTCTGGTGTCAAAGTGTTCCCCCATTGAGATGTGTTTTCCCTGTTCAAAACTCTGTTTTGTGTAGCACCACCTCAGTGGTTGTGGTTAGGATAATGTAGGGATTCAGGTTAGGGGAAACATCTCAATGAGAAAACATCAGCAATAGGAGTTGTGCACGTTCACAGTGGCGTTGCTGCGGTGGCGTTCGCAGCTATCAGAGCGGGGCCCTGACAATGTCAGCGGCTAGGCTAGGTCCCTTATCTTGTTTTCAGGAGGTGGCTCTCGGGTTTTATTATTCTTAAATAAGTACTATTTGCAGTTATGATGGGTGCAAAACTAATCTAGAAGTACCCAAGATTAAACATTAAATGGCTGGAAATGATCATGCCATGGGCAGTTTAAAACACAATCAAGACTATTGTTCTGGTTTTGAACTAATAAGACACAAGTATGATTTTAACTAGCACAGCCTATACAATATTCCGAAGGTTTTTTTTTTAGAAAAAAAAATGTACTGAATTGAATCAATCATCATTTTGTTTTTAAGTTAAAAAAAACAAAAGTATACAGATGAAAATATTTCAGATGTCCAAAGTCCTGCTCACTTTCATCATAAGGTTAAATTAAAGTAATCCTGGGAAGGGAATGAACATGAAACAATGGTTATGATCAGTAACCCAAGCTTCTATGAGTATAGGCGAAATAGAAGACAAAAATATGAGCTGAAACAATTAGTTCCTGAGAGAGATTTTAGCTAAAATTTTTCCACATTGAAAAAAAGAGTACATCAAAAGCTCCCCTTAATTTGTTGATCACTTTCAGATTTTTACAATCTAAAAATAGTTTCAAGTTGGGTGGGTGTTAATTATAAACATTCTTTTGTGCCCTGTGCCCTGCACTTGGCTGTCCCCAAAACAGGTCCGCTGCAATGGCATAAATGCCACTGTGACCTGTGATCGGCTCCCTACACCAGCACTTTTTCTTCAGCTGGCTGGGGGTGGGGACAGCAGGGCTACCAGCTTAGAGGGCTATGCCTATACTCATAAAAGCTTGGGTTACTGATCGCAACCATCATCCTATTTCGTATAGGCTTCACCCTCTAAGAGCTGTCGCTATTGGGATAAAAGTGCAGCTGGATGTAGTCAATGCCCTGTTGGCACACCGCCGCCCAAGAGCATTAAAACACACCTCAGCTTGCCAACATACCCCATAATAGCAGCCCAAACAACATCCTCTCTCCTGTATCCTGTATTTATTTAAATAATTATTCAAAGAAACAATATGCAATAAATGATATTCTATTTTCTGTCATGTAGTTCCATTCATTGTCCCTGTTTTAACGATTAAGCATGTAAACACTGAACAGCAGATTTCATGCCACTCTATAAAGCAGTTAATCAGTAGAGACAGCAAACACCAAAGGCCATGAAATCTGTTTTCAACTCAGTTTTATCTGACAGCTGAACTGTGACTGTGTTTGCACTGTATGTATACTTGTGACGTTACACAAATGCACAGATCTCAGCATGCTTAACCCAAATAAGTCCCGCTGTAATGCCTCTATACTTCATACAACTGAATCTCTTCCTCCTCCCCCTTTTCTTTCCCAGTTTTCCCTGCTACTTCCCC